ATTATTTGTTTATTATATAAAATTATTAAATTTATTTATTTAAAGTTGAGATACTAAAACAATTAAAAAAGATCAAAGAGAGTATTACTCATTTCGTTTAATTTTAGTAAATCTATTTTTTTGTCTAATAAAAGGAAAATAAAATAAATAATTAATAATTTTTTTTTGAACTGAAGCTAAATTAATAAAATTTTATATTAATTCCTAATTAATTACTACATAAATATGTAAATCTTTGTATTTAATATAAATTGTAATTATCTTTTAAAAAATAAGTATTAGAATAAAAATAAATATATTAAATGATATAAAAAAGATAATTAGATTTAAACTCTCTAAATTATGTAAAAATTAGATGCATCAAAATTAAATAGAGGAGTATAAAATGTGCTAATTATAAAAAAATAGTAAGTAAAATTACTAGAGTATTTCTCTTTAGAAAAATAATTAACAAATAAATTTTTTATACAACTTTTTTATTTAACAATTACTTTTCTCTATTCTAAACTAACTATTATTTTTTGAAATTTTTTCTAAATTAAAGATTTGGAGACAATTTATATATTTATCTATATTATTCTTAGAAAAAAATTAAAAGATAAATACATACTTTTTGTAATAGAATAATCAATTAAAATAAATAGATACGGATAGAGTTAAATAAGAAAAAAAAATATTTTTTACATAAAAAATAAAAAAATAATTTAAGACAAATTTAGAGTTAAAAACTATAATTATTTTAGAATAAAGTGAGTAAAATAATTGATTACATAATTGATTATTGATATTATACATAGGGTTTATTGCAAAAAATGATAGGTTCAAAAAAATAATTTTGAAATAAAGAAGTTTTTAAAAATATTTTAAGAACAAGTCTTAAAATAGAAAATAATATCATTCTAGAGCTTTGCACTCGGCAATGTTCCTTGATGAAGACCACATTACACAATTTGTTCTTGACCAAATAAATCCATAATTCACAGAACCTAATTTTGTGGCTAAAACAAACCCAACATCCCTTTCTCATTCAATGGCCAACCCAAGACAATGTATAATCACAAAATTAGCCTCAAACCCATCTAATTAAAACTGCAAATTGCCCAAAACCATGAATTTCAGAA